GCCTGATATACCTAGCTGCAGCATCCTTCCATTCCTCCCCTCCCTTACTGTTCCTCCCTGCATGCTGTCCCTAGTCCCATTCACCACATTAGAAGAACAAAAACAGTACTGGTATCCCATACCTTCCGCATACCCCTTTAACAACCAACTTTGTTCAGAACGCCCCCCAAAATGCTGATTCTATAGCTTTGTTGAGGTTTAAAAAGATAAATATGACGTTCACATGCCTGTGTTTCTCTCTCTGTAATTATACTGTATCATTAGAACTTGTCCATTGTCACTCTTAAAATGGGCTGGCATTGAACCATTTTGGTACTGGAAAAACACCAGCCACTTACCATTTACTTATCTGCCACAGCAGGAGTTTTCTTTTTCGGTCTAAGCTTGAAATACAAGACGAGCATCGCAATACCTGTGTATGTTGCTATTACGTACTGGAAAACATAAAAGTTAAGTTTCGTTTCAGTCTAAAACCCAGAAAACACCATTATACTAGATGACAAAAATTAATATACGCAATACATACATTCCTCCTGCCTGTCATGGTATAGGAATTGAAGTACTTCTGAAATCCAGTAAACTGGTGCTGAGATCCCGAGTCATGGCCAGCCATGGTTGCTTGTCCTAGCAAGAAATACAAGACAGTTAACAAGTTTCACAGTCAGTTGGACAGGATCAATAGCAAACCCAAACTTATCTCTACACTGAACTTTATACTTCCAATTGTCAGCTATTAAGTCTTCTTTCTGGACATTCAACAGAAGGTGGATATACATAAGGAGCAGGCACTCTCAGAGCACTGTATCTTAAGGTACATAACAAGTGACAAAAGAGCAGAGAAGGAAATGAAGGGTTCTGTGAGGATGAACATTTACGATTTTTCAGTGTCCATTCAACCACATTTAAACATGAAAAAAAGAAGTCAGTAGGATGATGATAACAGAAGGGAAAATTCCTGAATGCACTCACAAAGAAGAGATCTGCCAGTTCTGCCTACACAACCATTCAACACAGACAAATTTCTACCAATTGTTCAGGAATCTGCAATACCTAATTAAGAGAAATCTTCACTATTGCAGCTAAGAAACAGCTTCAATTACACATCCAAAGACTTGGTGACGAGACTCAGGCTACACCACTACTGTTTTGTGATTCAAAATACCACTTCACAACTTTTACACCACAGTAGAGTGCAAGAGTTGTTAATAAGAACTGCTCCGCTCTCAGTTGCACATTCCTATTGCATCTTAGCCCAGTATTCGCCGATCCGGCTAAAAATATTTTTTCTTCTGGTTAGTTTTCAGCTAAATCAGCAAGTCACTTGAGCCAGCTACAAAGCCTCACAAGTGCTTTCACAGGAACAACAAAACCACCAAGTACATGAGGGCACACATGTGCATTTTGCCTTTGTCTGGACCAAAGCTCCAGGTCTACCGTGAGAAGTCAGTGAACAGATCCTGGCATGGCTGCAGCAGCACACTTGCAGATCCACTGAACGGTTGAAGCTGGCACTTTGGAGATTGCACCGTTCAACCTCAACCTGCCCAAAGCAGGGGCAGCTGCAGCAGGTCAACTCAGAAACACGTCCAGTCAGGTTTTTGATACCTCCAGAGATGGAGACTCCACAACTGCTCTGGGGGTCCTAGTCCTGGGTTTGATCACCTTTACAGTACAGGGACTTTCTTTTTTTAATGTTTAGAGACATATTTATCTATGTTTAACACAAACATTTTGTTATCTATCTTCCAATTCACCTCAAAAGAAGCGCACATGCCACATGGTCGCCTACCAAACCGGGCAGATGCTGTGGCCACCAGTACCCCAGAGGAGGCA